GCACAAGACCGAGTCAAACCCCCGAAACAAAAAAAAAAAAAAAAAAAAAAAAGCAGACCTTCCCTAAATGACTATGAACCAAGTGTCTATAAGTTACCACTTCTCTGGTGAGGACCTTGTGAAATAAAGCAGCAAAAATCCAACACCGCAGAAGTGAGTTGGAAACACATACCAGAACTGCTTGTCCTGGTGTTTAAAACAGGAAAGCCTGGGAAGACACACTGCTTCTTTGACATGTAATCAAAAGCAGGGAATTTTTAAATTAGAAAAATGTTACAGTGAAAGGCACATTGCCATGAATCCCCTCAATGCCCTCCCTTCACTTCAAACTCACCCGTCCCACTGTCCTTGTCACTTTCTGCAGCAGCTCTGGAGTCCTCTCCCCTGAGTGCCTTTGGTTTACGCTGTCCTGAAGTCCTGAATGGATCAGAAATGTTTTCCTCACTGTCGTTTTGACTTCGGAAAGAACCCGATGTTCCACAGTGCCGGATCCGGTGACTGAGGCGGATGAGGACGCAGCGTCGTGATTCTGGGAGCCGCCCATCTGCTGGGTGGTGCTCGGCAGCAGCAGTCACTGTTTTTATCACATCTGGTAGACACTCAGGAAAGAGCTCTCCAGAGCTGCTGAGGAGGAGGCAATGTGAGGGGATCAGTGCATTCTAGGGAGGGGGAGGATTCTGAGAGGGATGTACGGCCACATGTCTTTTATCATAACTCAATTTTTAAATTTTTATTCAATCCTTCACCATATCCTTTGATCACACTCTGTGCGGTGGCTGAGCACCCAGCTCTACCTTGCAGGCCTAGGCCGGCAGGACGGAGCAGCTCTTGCTCTAGGACGTGGTCATGGTGTTGACCTTCAGGTGCCCCGGCACGCCATGCACCCCTCTCTCCTGGCACCTGCCAGCATGACAACCCGGCTCCTGCCTCATGGAGGCCTGGTCGAGGGTTAGGTGTGCTCAGGTATCAAAGCCTTGGCGGGAAGAGAGGATGTGGTTTCCACAGGCTCGCTGTGGGGCACTTTTAGGCTCCCAGCAGCTCCGAGCAGGAAGTGTGGGCTTCGCAACACCCGAGCCCACAGCCTGCCTGGTGCGGGACAGAAAGGCGTCCACTCCAGATGCCCATGCCTCTGTGGGCTCAGAAGGAGGCTGTCTGAGCTTCCCGGGTTGCCTTTTCCAGCACGCATCTCTGGCCTGGCCTCCTCCACGAGATGTGGGTGAGGCCCACACCCCCAGGGCTGCTCAAGTCCTCCTCCTGTGGTCCGAGTGCTGCAGTTCGGCTTCTGGCCACCTCCCCAGGGACATCTCAGCAGCTCGCTGTTGGAGTTCTGGATAAAGCTGCTGCAAACATCTGTGCTCAAGTCTGTTTTGTGGACAAAGTTTTTTAACTCATTTGGGAAAATACGAGGCCTGTGATTGCTGGGTTGAAAAGTGGTTTTTTATATATTGTGTTAAAGTGTATTACTCAAATTCATTTCAGTTTTCTTTTTACACTAAAAAAAGTAAGGCTACTAGAATATGCGAAGTCACAGGTGTGCTCTGTCCTATATTTCTACTGGAGTTGAGGTCTGGCAGCTGAAGTGAGCGCACAGGACCCCGTGTGGGCCCAGTACTGAGCCAGGCGGTGCCACATTCCCCACCCAGCAGCACCGCAGACAGGAAGAGATCACTCTGCGCTGTGCAGCATGGTGGAGCCTGGGAACCCGGGAAGACTTAGGTTCAGTTTCCCTCAACTCACCATAAAAGAAGACGATGGCTTAGTGTTGCTTCCTCGTAGCACAGGGGGTGGAACCCTAGGCCAGTGCTCTGCCCTGTGCAGCCTCCGCCTCCCAAGTGGGCTTGTGGACAGGGGTGGCACAGAACATGCCAAGTGTGGACACATTAAGGTCACTTTGCCGGCCAGCTCTCTCGGCGGGTATTTCCAGAGGGCACCCCGCGTATGGGGGCATGCAGTGCCCAGGGCGTGCCTTTGATGTCTCCCCCACGGCCCGGCCAGCGGCTGCTGCTGGGGAGCTGGGCCGTCACAGCCTCTGCAGAGTGGCCCTGGAGGAGATGCAGGCCCGGGACATCGGCTCCCTCCGCACTGACAGGTGTCAGTGCCACCGAAGGTCCCTGGCCTCAGTTTCCTCCCGTCAGAGGCCCCTCCTGCATGAGGCAGGGGTTCTGGAAGCCCAAGGGCTGCCCAGGAGACCACGCACATGTTACCCATGCTGTTTCAAGGGCTGTGACTCAGTGAGCCCAGCAGGAGCCCACAGTGAGCAGCATGGGGAGTGGGCATCGTTGTCCAGCCGCTGTGCCCACCCACCCAGCCGTCCTTGAAGTGCTTCTGAGTCTCCCCAGCAACGACCCACAACGTCTGTGAGTGGGCCAGGTGCTTCCCCTGGCCCTGCAGGACGGTGCGGCGGGTGCCAGGCGCAGCCACACAGAGCACCATGCGCAGAAGAGGCTGCGGCGCTAGCGCCCGAGCTGTGAATCAGGCACTTCTGCCTGTGACAGCTATTTTAAGGTCATGAAGTCTCAGCTCAGCTGAGAAACTATAATTATTTGCTCTGCAGCCCCTGTTGGCGCAGGGTGGTCGTAATTAGTGAGGATGAAACTATTTCCAGGAGCTCTGGATCGGAGCCCTGACTGCTGTCCACCCCTCTGCCTTCGTGCTGGGGAAGGTGCAGCGGGTCTCTGACTTAATCACAGGGGCGGACGGCTGGCTCAGGCTTCACCCTGCAGGGCGTGGGGGCTCTGGAGTGCGCTGGCGTGGGGGGGGCAGGGCTCCCAAGTGTGGAGCGGGCAGGAGCTGGAAGCCACGCTGTCACTAGGCATGGACAAACTTGGGGTGACCCCCCTCGTGGTGCCCACTGCTCAGCTCCTTGCAGCAGCTGCAGTGGGAGAGCACAGCCACCAGCCTGTCTTTGAATGTGGGGTAGCCTAGGGGTTGGTCCCTGCAAATTCTGGGAAGAGCTCCTCTGGTAAGGGCTTGGACTGGGTCTGAGGATCACAGGGCTGCGGATGGCTTGCAGGAAGGGTGATACCAGGAGAACTCCAGGTTGGCAGAGCCAGGCCCCACCCGGCAGGGGCTCGGACATGGAGACTGGCCTGGCTGGGGCCCTCCCAGGAACCCCCACCACGACCCTGCAGCCCACATAAACCTAGAAGCAGACATAGATGGCAGTTGCTCAGCACAGGGGTGTCACTGACAGCACAGGGGTGTCACTGCTTGTCCCCTAGGGCAAATAGGAGGCCAGGGCTGTCACGATGACCCAGGGGCTGCGTCCTGACCCTGACACCATAAGAGGACCCAGGATCGGGGCTGCTTGGCTTCTGAGGTCCTCGAGGGTCCCTGCACAGGGGACCACAGCCTGCTCCCCTTCACTGGTGCTGCCGGTGTTCTTGGGTGCCCTGGTTGTGACACAGTTCCTGACCCACAGAACTGGAGGCCAGCCTTTCCTGGGGGCTTCTAGGACCACAGGGCTTAGATGGAAGCCCGGGCTTCAGGTCCTGGGACCTGTGATGTCAGGTGGCGTGGCGGCTGTGCAGACTTGGCCCGAGGGACAGGAGAGGCTCCTGGAGAGTGTCTTGGGGCCCAGAGAAAATGGGGACCCTCGGGGGGGGGCTGGGGAAGCAGGACAGGAGCAGGTGATCCCACATACCCATGGCCCGAGCAGCCCTGACGGGCTCACACAGGGAACGCGGTCCAGCCGTCAGGTCCTCACTGGACCTCAGCATGCGTGCGGTGCATCACAGCCCAGCTGAGTGCCATCACCTGGAAGCTCTGGGTTCAGACCCCCTTGCCTGACTGCACACCTTTTGCTCAGCTATCAAACTACGTTCAGAACTGCTGCCTCCGTGCTAAATTAATATAGTTTCTTATACCCATAAGTCATTCATTTCAAACTTCTCATCACTCATGAATAAGTTCATCATTTTCATTCACATTTTGTCACAAAAATTAGGAGTTTAGCTTGTCAAAAATCTCATTTTCTACTTGTCTTTTATGTGTGGCAAGAGAGTAAAGCAGCAGATTAGCCTTTCTTCTATCCCAGCAGAGGAGGACGGGCTAGAACGTAACACAATCAAAACAAATTGCTTAGGAAAATAATTCCTTTATTTACAGGAATTACCAACACCCAGGCGGCTTTTATAAGAAACAAAAACTGTCATGGTGCCGGCCAGGGTCGGAGTATGGGAGGCTGGATGAGGCTTTCTCTGCGAATCAGAGCAACGCTGACGTCGTGGGAGCAACTGCTCAGGGCGAGGGAGCAAAACTGCACCAGCCACTGCTGCTCCACACTTCACAGCCTGGGCCCCGAGAAAGGTGCTCAGGGGCCCACATGCAGTGTGTGGCTGCCATGGCCTTACCCAGTGACCCTGCTCTCGAGTTCTTTCCCTGGGCCACAGGTGACGATTTTCTGCAGAAATGACCAGATGGGCCCGGGAATTGCTGAAACAATTACTTATCCCAGAGGCACAGCCCGTGCACGGCTCTTGTCTTGATTCTCCAGCAACAGTGGAGTTGGCCACAGACAGAGGCTACCCCTGGCACTCGCACTGCATTTACCACAGGGATTTCAACAGAAATGGGGCACAAGTCGGAATTTCACTTAGTCTTCCAAAAAGCCCACCTATTTACAAGTAAATAAGAGCAAAAGCTGAAAACTAACTTATCTGCTGGCTGTCCTTGTATCATTTCCTCTATTTGAATAAAAGAAAGAGGTAAATTAAAGTTATGCCAGGCCAGTCCTCAGAAGAGGTTAAAGCATGTTCCAGCAAGCAGATTAGTTCTGTGGGGCAATAACGTTAAATCTTCCTGAAGCCTGGGAATTTCTCAAAAGCGTTTTCACTGCTTTCTTGCATTGCAACAAATGCAGTCATCCGGGTAGATAATCTGGCGTCTTAAATAACTTTGCACTTAAGCCTTGTCGATGCGACCTTCCAAGGTTAATTGATTATTCCAACAAGCATGCCTGACAGAGAGGACTTGAGCGCCCGCATCTTTTCATTAATTCACACTGTTTGGTTAGAAGGTGAAAAATAAGAAGGAGCTGCTTGACTTAACTCCTTCACCACACAGGTCCAAGGCAGTCAGAGGTGGGGCTCACCTGTGTGCTGTCACCCTGAGACGCCAGCGGGAGACCGGGGGTCAGTGCAGGCCCCGCAGCCCAGCTGTCTGGAGAGAACCGAGGCAGATACTCTTCTCTCTGCTCCCGCTCTGGGCTGGGCAGCCACAGGCCATTTGCACTAGACATAGCCCCGCTGGGCTTTCCAGGAAGGCTGGGACTACCAGCAGTCATGCACATCATAGGTATTGGTCACAGACACACAACAGGACAAGGGGCAGCTCCTCGTTCATGGTACAGTGCCCGCCTTGGACGGACACTGGGACCAGGCCGGAATTCAGGGTTCTCCTATAGCATAACACTTGCCAGACACACACCTGCAATCCTAGCAAGCTGGGAGGCTGAGGCAGGAGGATGGAAAGTCAGACCCCAGACTGGGTAACTTAGTGACTTAGGAAGACCTTGTCTCAAAAAGAAAAAAAAAACCCCTGGAGATGCAGCTCAGAGTGGAGATGCTGGGTTCAAGTCCCCAGTAACCCCCCAAATAAAATAAAATAATACCAACCAAAAACAAAACCCCAAATCCAGACAAACAAAAAGCAGGCATTGATGTGTTTTCCAAAAAAGAGAAAAGACCCCAAAGGTTGCTTACATGGGAAAAACTTGGCCTCCTCCTCGGGGCCCTCGCCTCGTCTGCCAGGGAGCCGAAGGCGGAGGGAGGGGGATGCCAGGGTGACCGCAGGAGCAGGGCCCCCCACCTGCGCTCCTGGCACCGCAGACCGTGGCTCTGGAGCTGGTGGCTGGCAGGGCCTCTGCCTGGGAGGCGGGGAGGGAGAGAGGCAGGGAGAGGCCACAGCTTTATTTACATCACACAGGGCTGTAACAACCAACAAGCATTAATCATGATCATTACCCAAACGCAGATAACATGGCAGCCTCAGCCTCAGCACGGCCTCGCTTATTCGCTGATCCTTTCTCCCCCTCCCTCGGAAAAGCGGAAAACAACAAAATCACGAGAGGCCAGCCAGGTCCCCCAAGTGCGAGCGTGTGTAAATTAAACACGCGCGGCGCCGATGGGCGGGAGCCGGAGCCTGACAGGTATTATTGCCGCCGCGAGTCACTTAACCCTGCAGGGATCCCGGTGTCTTGAGGTGTCAGGGCCCTGTTATTAGACAAGTTTAATTAGGATCTATCCTGCTGCTCCCAACAAGGATTTAATTAACTTCCAGGCAGGGTAATTAGCCTCAGATCGGGCTGATTCTTCCCTCACCTTCGGTTGACACCTGGCCCGCGCACTGCTGACAGAGTAATGGATCGCCTCCTCGCACGTGGGGGCAGCAAGGAGCCACACGACACCTCACGGCCACGGCTGGGGCCACAGTGGCCACGGAGCCCAGGGGCCATCAGGTGGGCCAGCCTGGCCCTGACGGATGCCTTTAAGTGCAGAAGAACGAAGAGGAACAGAATGGCGGCCGAGCCTTAGAGCAGCTGTCTGGTCCTCCGCCCTCCTGGCCCCTGGGCTGTGCTGCCACCCAGCTTGTGGCGAGGACCCAGGGTGAGAGCTGTGCCCGGCTGCTGGCAAGACCAGGCCTGCCACCCTCTCTCTGCCCAGCTGCTTCCCCAACCCGGCCCTCGGAGCCCACACTCCCCCGAGCCTCTGCCCTCTCAGCTCAGAGCAGGACTCGGTGTGGGTGCCAGACAAGGAGCGTGCGGTGGACACAGGGCTCCTTGGGAGCCCAGCATGGATGCACCTGCCCGGGGCTGGCCTAGGGATGCCAGTTTCACAGGGGACTGGTCCAGTGCTGTGCTCTGGAGATCCTGGAGCCTCATGCCACAGTGACTGCAGACCACAGAGAATGCTGACATCTGTAAGATTTATTACAGTAGAAAACACATTTCCATAAAATCCCCTCACCCACCCCCAGCTTTGCACACACTCATGCCCTTTCTGCAGCAGCTGTGGAGTCCGCTTTGCTGAGTGTCTCTGTGAGGTGTGATGAAGGACACCACGGCTGCTGCCGAGTGCCACCCAACAGACAGGCAGCTCGTAAAAGCACGACGCTGCGTCCTCGTCCACCTGGGTCCCCAGATCTGGCACCGTGTGACTCCCGGCTCTTCCCAAAGTCAACATGACCATGAGAAGTCAACATCGTGGGCCTTCAGATCTGCCCCACATCTCATGGTGCCCGGCTGCCAACCGGATGTCATCATTCTGCGCCGTCTTCATGGACTCTGCTACACAGAAGGCAGCGGTTGGGGCCCCACATCTGTTGGCTCCACCTCTCCAAGTCTGCTGGGTCCTGAGCCCACTGGGCACTGATGGGGCAGCAACCTCAGTGGGGTCCTAGAGCTTTGGCAGTGTACCTGGCATCTATGGGATAGGCGCTGCTCCTGCCTGGCACACTGGGGAGAGCCCTCCTTTCCGAGCCCACTGCATGGGGGCTGCAGATCCAGAGAACCCAGCAGACTTTATGGGCTGGCCTGAGCCCTGCAGGGACCTTGCAGTGCCGGGGCCCTGATCCCAGCAGGTTCTGTGCCCTTGCTCCTGCCCCTCCTCTGGACCTCTATGTTGGGCCACACCTGCCCATCTCCTCTTCGTCATTGGTTTGGACAGAGCAGCCATGTGGAACCTGTTTCCACATTCGGGGGCCGCAGTGGACACTTCCCAAGCCACCATTCTCAAGGGATCCCAGAGCAGGGGCTTGCAATGGCTGTGTGAATGCTGGAGCTGGGGGGTGTCCAGTGCCAGGGCGGCGCAGAAGGCATGTGGAGGGGCCCTGTGCAGCAGTGCCCCGCGGCCCCAAGAGACACTGGGGAGCCCTATCGGGAGGTGTGGGTGGCAGAGTGGGGGTGTAGCCCCAGCGCTGGGGAGCCAACAGCAGGGCATGCCACCCTGTAAAGCAGGGCTCTTTGAGGACACAGCCAGAACACTTGTCCTCCCTTGGCCTCTCTCTCACAGCAAAGGGAGTGTCACAGATGCTCCAAGAACTGCCTGACCACTGGTGACGCAACGACTTCTGGTTGGACCCGTGGGACAGAGGATGAGAATGTGAGCCTGTCCCCTCTGCTGCGTGAACCTCAGCAATTCTACACATTTTCCATCACACTAGCCCCTTAAGAGAAAAAGAAAAGTCCTCGCCACGCAAGCGGGAGAGAAATGTCACCTGCCACCCTTATCAGACATTCGTAGTGAAGAAGAGAGGACACTCACAACCCAGAAGATGACAGAAACCCAGCGGTTGGATCAGGCTGTAAAGATGCGCTCGGGCCTTTATTCTAGGGTCCCAGCATGGCTGGACCCTGCCCAACAGAGGACAGGGCCACCAGCACACAGGCTGCCAGGCACTGGTTAGAGTAGCAATTGCACACCTTGCTCTCCCTCACAGCCATGACTCTTGGAGGAATAACTAGCTTTAATTCCGTTTAAACAGAAAAACACCCAGCCATAAAGGCACGCACACCACTTCCACCTGTGGGGATGCGTCTCCTTCATCACACAGCTGGATGACAGCCCTTCAAAGGCAGGAAGGTGGGGGGCGTGACAGCTGATTGGGAGGTGAGATGGCCCGGCCAGGGCTCTCTCCAGTTGGCCTGGCCACACCAGTGGCCCCACGTGCACTCTGGTGACTTCTGGGCTTCAGTAGCCTGGGAAAGCTTGTGTGGGGAGGACAGTGTGGGACACTGGCCCTTCTTTTCAGAAGCAAACACCAATCCATGTGGGGTACAGCATGGTGGGTGGGGGCTGAGGACATCCCCAGGTGTCTTACTATTTTCTCCTTATGGAAACAAAATACCCAACATCCAAAGTTAAAGGAGGAAAGGCCTATTTAGCTCACAGTCTGTAGAGGTTTCAGTCCATAGTCAGCTGGCTCCAAGGCAGGGTGGCACATGGCAGAGGGTGTTGCAGAGGAGAAAGAGTTCATGGTGGCAGAAGGCAGCAAAGCAGCAAAGTAGTAGCAAGTGACAACAGCAACCACAGCAGGTGCACTTCTGTCCCTTATATTCTAGCCAGGATACCTGCCCTCAAGGTGGATAGCACTCACACCCAGGGTGGGGCACCCTTAATCCTAGCACTGCACTATGAATCTAACCCAGCATCACACACGCTAGATCCAGCCAACTCTGAAAAGCCCGCCTATGACCACATGAGGCTTTACACCAGGTGACCTGCTGTCCACCTTGTTCCTCTAATCGGTGGCAATCTATTCAGGATGATGCTGAACACGAGGGTGGAGACCAGCTCCTGGTGACGTGTTCTGTGAGAGCCACACTGGGGATGGGCTATGTGCTGCATCTTGGCACTGGGGGCACTGGATCTCGGGCTCTGCGTCCCTATACCTGTTTTCAGGGGACCGATGGCACATGGTGGTCAAAGGTCCCCAGAAGGCAGATGATGTCCTCCCGTGCCTCGTTGTCCACCCTGTGCAACTGAGTCAGGCAGGCCCTGCACTCCTGGTTTGAATCTGAATGATGTCCTACAAAAGGGAACAAAGCCCAGTGTCACCTGCTGCTCAGACATCTGGGGAAAACCAGAGGGATGCCAGCTTGTGTCTTCC